AAGGCTGCGAGAGAGGAAAAGGAGGCAGAGGCGGCGGCGGCGGCGGCAGAAGAGGAAGTAGAACCGAATGAGGAATCGTTTTACAGCCTGGGCCCAGCCCAGCTGGTAAGGCCGGCCAAAAGGAAAAGCAGGGCCGAGCAGCAGCATCCCGAAGTAGAGTTGGATGCTGGATCCTCCAAAGGTAAGAAGAATCAGCGGTGCCTTTTCCATGCCACGTGCGCTCAGCGATGCCAGTCCGAGGCCAGTCTCCTTCCAGTCAGTCTCGACTCCTGATGACTTCGGCGCTCCCTTATTTCGATATTGTTGCCGAAGTGGTTGTCCATGGCTTTTTTGCAGGAGGTTTTTTGATTTCTCAGTCTAAAGTACTCTGTTTCCTGGATGGCCTCCCACCCAAGTGATGCAGGCCAAGCCTCCTTAGGAAGCCAGGACCAGATGCTGCCACCTGCTGAAAGCAGCGATGCTAAATCTCCAGTGGATAAAAAGCTCACTTTTTGACAGTGTGACATAGCGGGCTAAAGAGAGCTGCGAGGCAGTTACCTAAGACTGTCTTTCTCCCTTTGTGGAAATTGAAAATACAAACCCAAACTTCTGATTCAGTTTAGTGCAGAGCTGTTATATAATAGTTCTGCTTTCTGCAAATTTGCTCTAAGAAGCTTGTATTTGGGATTTGGAAACAGCACTTAGCCTGGTTCTGGCATGCTGGAGTCTCAGATAATGTGAATCTATTCATCATAACTTTCCAAAATTTAAATTGTACTGTTGGAGATTTATGAAATGATAGTTACATTCTATAGGACTATGTAATAAAAGATACCATGAATTGATAATATATCTTTATTTTTAATTCTCTTGAAAACTCTTAATGTGACAACATTGGGGTAATCCCAATATTGTTTTCCAGTGCAGTTGTTTCGCATCTTGCTAGCAATAGCAGCTCAATTAAATTCTTTTGCTGTAAAATTGCATTCTACATACCTGTATGAATTGTCCTATAAAATTCATGTTATGTCTGTCTCCCATAATGCATATCATTTAATTGTTCAAGAAGGAGAGACCTGATTTTTAGCAGTTAGTTTACTTGAGAAAATATATATAAGCAACCAAGGAGTATTCATCTTTTTACTGTTTTCTTTCCAACACATTTGATTTTTTAAAAAGAAAAACATCCCTGAAATGATATGGTGCATGTCGCAATTTGGTAAATGCAATTTGATGCAATGCAATTTGCTAAAAAGCCTGGAGAAACTGGCTTAAATTTGCTTTTGGGTTCTCTTTTCAATTTTCATGCAATTTTTGTGAATGTAAAGAGAATGACTTGCATTGAATCAGATTTAAATAGTGATAAGAAAAGGGAAGTATGATAGAAGTCACAGTGAGGAAACCATGATTTTGTTTTGAAAGGTTATTTGGAAATGTTTCTGAACTATAGGAGCTATGTTTTATATTGTGAACTTCAGACTATTTGATCCAAGGGTCCCCCCAACATTTTAAGAGCCTGTTCAAGATGGCTTATGCAAAAAGCTTGGTTGCATGTAAAATAGCTACTTTGGAGGACATACTGGTGCTGATTCAGAATGCTAACTGCCAAGGGTTTGGAGCCCTCTACTTCATATTACTCTTATATGCATTTTCTCTTTTAAACATTGAATCGATTTCTGAAATATAAAAAGTGGGGCAGAAAACCTAGCAACAATCACAAGAGGTGTCCACAGGTACTTTAGCACCTACGCTTACAGCTTTTTATAGTGGTAGGAGTGATATAATACCTGGATGTTTGCTTATTTATGGTTCACTTATAAAATATTTTTCCCTCTATATTTAGAAGAATGTTCCTCTATTGAAGCCAGAAACAGAGCACTCAACAAAAATTATAATGGCGAAATGCAAATACAGACAGGTAACCTTGGATTTTCTTCATGATAACATCTCAAAAATGTGTTAATTATATCCCAAATTCTATATGTAAACATAGCTGAATTGATAAAATAGGATTTGGATATAAGGAATATTGGATTTTACGCGTTCAACAGGCTGAAAACCTTTGCTTCAAGGATTTTGTTAAATTCATATTAGAAAGCTAAAATGGAAATGTGAGTTGTCAGGAAATAGTTAATTACAAAGATTAGTTTCCATTCCATTTTCCAATATTGAACATATTGAATTGTGATGAAAATGTTTATGAGTAGAATCTTGAAAAGTGTTATTTGTCTTACAGTTGTTGTATATCCTTTGAAAGAGGTAATTTAGCAGATTATGTTTTCTTACTGTTGTGATTGATAGGAGGAGATATAGCTATATTACTGATTGAAGTTATCAAAAAAAATCCAGTATCTTCTATCTGAATTGTTTTTACTTTTGCAAAAAAAAATAAATACATGGTAGAGTAGCAGTCTTAATATATCTATCTTGTCTACTCTACCTACTTAGGTATCATCCAGGTGACAAGTACACAGAACCTGTTAAGGTCTATTATATACAATTTCTGACAATTTTTTTTTTTAGAGACCAGTATTAGAGTGTTTGCAGGCATGATAACATGAAGTATTTATGCATATGTGCCTTCAGAAAGAGAGATACACACATAACACATGTATACTTTTTTGTATGTAAATAAGTTTGTAGGAAAAGAGGTATATAACAAAAAAAGCCTAGTGATTTTTAATGTCTGTTACATAAATACGCATATTCTATTTTCTCATATTGTTAGGTGGGAACTAGAACTAGCTATAGGGTGTTTTTTTTTTTCCCTTGTCTGAAAGATATGTCTTGCCGGGAACAATTTTTCTATTTCATTTCTAATATTCATCCTTCCCTTGGTAGGAAATGCAGACATTTCTGGAATTTCAGACACCAGTAATCTTAATCGACCACCTATTAAGCATTCAAGAGAAGGTAAATAAAACCTCTGACAATTTAACAAAAAGTCTTTGTTGTTTAACAGTTGTTAAACTGTTGTTGTACAGTTATTTAGGTTCTATTTCCATTCAATAAATATTTCCAAAGATGACTTTGGAATATTTTAAAATTGTATATATCACATTGTATAACAGGAGAAAAACATGGCATAAATATGTCTAATCATGTTTTTAAAAAGTCCCTAATCCATGTTCCCACCAACCTAATTTATTGCTTTATATTGCTATGTTTAAATCAGTTTGGGAATTTGACTTTAATTGTCCATTTGACTTCCTGATACAGAATTTCCTAAAATGGTGCCTTCAAATATGTTAGACTGCAGATTTTTTTTCTTCAGCCAGCAACCTCATGATCCTGTATAACTGATTCTCAGCAAGTAATTTTTCTTTATTTTACCAATAAAATATTGATACTTTGATCACCTTCCAAGGATTATGAAGATTATTTCTGCGACAAACACGATTCCTCCCTTGTAATGTTATAAAAACAGTCTGCTTCTATTTACCTCATGCTGGATTTACCTCATCGCCTGCCTGCCTTTGCCTCATGCTGTACATTATTTCCTATCTTAATAGGATTGTCATATAGGTTAGCCAGAGACTCTGCAGTGAATAAATCAGGTCGAATTATTTTCATTTTGAAGTCCAAGAGCAACCATGTTAATCTGTAGGAAAAACAAAAAAGACTTGTGCTATTCTTAAAACTGAAGTATTTATATTTGTGGCCTAGTGCCCAATTTAGCAGATACATAGCAATTTCCTAATACAGGTAGGTCTCAGTGCAGTTAATGAATCCCATGAAATGGTCACATTCGAATCCACACTGTTCAAAGTGGTATTTCCATGAAAAATATGGTAATTGGTTCCAGATCAATGGAAATAGGCAATGAAAAATTTTAAACATAAAATTTTATAGGTACATATTAATGAAATATTAAAGAATAAAAAGAATACGCTTATAATTGAAATTCATTGTTAAGCAAGTCACAGAGTAGATATAGAAAACAAAATTCTATTATAGATTCAGGCATTCCAACATCTCGTCCTATTTTAGTGTTGCTATGACCACGTTCATGTCATTCAATTACATCAAATTTTTGCTCTAATAACAAGTCTCTTTTTTAAACTTGTATTGATTTCCTCTGACGGAATCTTCCTTTTCTCCATTTTGCACACAGATTAGCTGCGTCTAAAACAGCAACTATGCATGGACTAGCTTCAATTGCGCACGTGCTAGCCTCGCATTAACTGAATTTTGGATAAAGTGTATCAATTTACAATTCTCACTAAATTGAATATCACATTCTTTGAACTTGCATTAATTGTGACTTACTGTACAGCCCTTGTATTACTACAGTAGATGTGGAAATCATGCATCTCCCAGCAACTGTTTTTGTCAGTGTATATTTTATCAATTGACTTTGCAGCCATTTATTGATCTTAACAACAAAGTTTGGTAATTTGCCTTTGATGCATATTGGTAGGATCCAAGGGATTCTGACAGAGGAGTCTGTGATTTTATTGGTGCATGCCTAGATTACTGCAATAGTCTCCTGACAGCTGTTCCCAATTCCTCTCTCTGTTCCCTGATCTTAGATTCAGGCTGTTTTGGACCTGCCAGTCAATACTCATGTCTTATAGCACAGTCTTCTTTGCTAACTCTCTTTTCAAGCCAGAACCAGCTTAAACTATTGGTGCTTGTGTTTAGAGTCATCCAGTCACAAACCTAAAGTACGTGTTTGTCCTTATTTCTCCTTACAGTCCTGTTTACTCTTTAGGTTCCTTTGAGCAGGGCTTTCTTTCTATTCCTCACTCCAAGAATACAATCTCCATGTTCTGAGTTTAAAGGAATCAGATCCTTCTTTCTCTTAATCACTGTTAAAGTTTGAAGGCCTTTAAAAAGGGTTTAAATACCTGATTATTTGACTAATGGGGTACTAGGGCGTGGTTATCCACCCTGCTCTCATTAATCTTGGCAGTTCTTAGATTAAGACCTGTTTTTTATTATGGATATTTTATTATGTGTTCGCTCATATCTCAAAGGAGCTGTTTTAAGTATGTATGGTTGCTGTGTTTTGTCTTATTTTTACTGGTCTGGTTAAGTTGTGAACTAATTTTATTGGATGGAATTTTGTAATTGGTGAATAAATCATTATTATTTTAATCAGGATCTGTTCTTGCATTTAGGCATATTGTAATAATGAAGAGATGGGATTTGTTGGATTGTATCTCTGATAAGATCATTTGTTCTAATGTGGTTCTTTTTCAGATTCAGCAGTGAACTGGAATGATTTAAGGCTCAGAAAACAAGGTATGTATTTCCATTGTTGTATTCCTACATATGATAGGGCACGATATTTGCTTTAAAATTTCATATTTGCGTATTTATGTTAACTGTGTGTGTTCTTTTTATGATCAGCAGATGATAGTAGATCTCTAGTTTTGGTTGAGACAGGAGAGGTCTGTCAGTAGAACAAAAAGGTTATAACTGCTTTTCTAAATAAGTGTGTTTTTAAATGTATTGAAAGGTACAATCTGCTTTCTTATTGGTCAAACACAAACATTACTCTGTACTAGTAGTATAGTTTTGCTTCAGTGTGATAGGTAAACCTAGTCTCTTGTTATTAAACCATATTTATGGCTAACCTAGAGATAGGTATCCTTTTGGTGTTCAGGAATTACACTGTCATTGCCCTTGAAAGAAGACTTAATGTAAAAAGTGTTGGGCCACCAATAAACATTTTCCAGGCACTCTGGGATACATCTCCTTTGTTTTCATTTTATATTATGCTTACCCATCCATGCATGTTTTTTCTTTATAGAACATCTAGAATTAATGTCAACTGTAGTATTTATTTTTCCCCAGATATCTGTCAATTATTTAAGATTTAAAAACACAGAATCACAGAAATGGAAGGCACCTCAAAGGTCATCTAGTTCAACCCTCTTCCTGCTGCAGATCTGCTAAATGTTAACAGAGGATTGATTATCCCTGATTCATCAATTGATATCCACATTACAGTTGGGGAAAAACACGAAGAACAGATTGTGCCTGTGTAGCAGTGCAGTAATTGAATTATATCTGTCAAGTCTGGTGGATCCTCAAACCCAGCTTAATGCTCATATATCCAAACCTATTTCCATCACTTTTGAATTTTTTCTTTGCACAGATACATTCAATATATTAAACACGAAGTTTTATTTGCTTAATTTACTAGATGCATTTCTGTAAAAGATACAATATTAAGAAGTAAGAAAGACAAAAAAAAGTCAGCATATTTCAATAATGCATGGTTTTCAGGGAAAATGTGTGGTTTTATCCCTTAAAATCTTTTTTTCCCCAATGTTTTCCTGATGAGGAAATTGGAAATTTAGGAGAAAATGAGGATATGTTGACTGTTTTTTAAAAGATACTTTAAACATTATCTTAGTTGAATTTTTCTTACTATAAAAAACTAAATCTGCATGCTCTGTGAGATATACAGCAAGTAATCAACTGAGTTGTCATACTCTACTGTCAAAGCTAATATGCAACCATTTTTGTAACATATTCCATTTAATTAAAATCCATCTCCCATTCAATTTGGAAAAAGTTTGAAAAAGGGTTTATTGCTTTATACATAATACACTTATTATATGTACAATCTTACAACTATTACCTTAGTATTGTAGATTTTCTGTTCTATTTTTAATAATACTGATTAAAATCTCACTGAGCCCAAATAATAAAAAATACATTTAATTCCTGTTGATTTCACTTTTCCCTCCCTCAATTATTTGGCATATTAGGGTGCTTGTTTTCTGGTCCATTTTTAATCCAGCGTTGTGTTGGCAGTGGTGCAAAAGAACTGTTATTCTTCCTCAGCATCCCTCTGTATGTTCTCAAAATTTGTTCTGGAAGGTCTTAGTACTCTCCAGCAAGTTATTGGATTCGCAGAAGCAACAGAATGATGATGGTGAACAGGCCCGCTATTGGTTCTTCTGTGTTACATATTTTTGGAATTATATAAATAAAACTATAGCTTTCATTTTCTAAATTAAAAAAAATGTACACAGTACCATTATGTGCTAACTTAAATATTGCATTTTATGTCTTAAAATAGGCATTTTACCAGTCTTAAATATACTATCTGCAGATCCATACCTAAAATATTTCCATTCATTTCTAGAGGTAATACTATAATTTTCCATAGGACTGTAGTCTGTTGGATTTGATTTTGGGAGAGTTGCTTTGGAATGCAAAGATAGCACCTGTCTAAAATGCATTAAAGCAGCTGTGCAATCCTGGAAATGGAGGTGGCCACTTTAATGAATTGTTGTTCTGTTGCCCTTCTGCATGTTTTGAATCAACTCTTCTACATCAAATCTCTAGCATTGCACTGATCTAGTTTCAAGGATGGGCATAGGGAATCAGATATTTTGTATCTGTAGTAGAGCTGCTTTAAATCAAACAAAAGTCTGTGCCCCCCACCCCCAAGTTATTTTAAATGTGAAGATTTTTCTTGTTCTGGAAGAAATTCACAGGATTAATTAAGTGCTTAAATTAAGTATTCCCATGACTCATCAGATTATTCAATCTAATTTATCTCAAGAGAAGATGGATATTTTGTCTGGATCATAGAAAATTGTGGTCTTACCCATGACCTTCTAAAAGGATAGAAATAATTATTTTGTTATTTGTTAAATTACTCTACTAGATCTAAGATCTGTAACATTTCAAACAAGCTTCTTTTTCATTAACTAATGGGATTTTATTTTAGAATAGTTGGATTAGGATCTCTTTTAAAATCTTTTTCATGTGCTTCAAAATCAAGCCCTTGTTGTAACTCCTTAGGAAGCACAAGGATATTTGAAAGGAATCACAATCAAGAGTCCCAGAGCCCTATCAGAATTAATTCCTGCTCTGTTTGAACAACCAGCTGTTGCCTTGTCTATGAAAATTGGAAAGGAAACTTCAGAACACAGTCTTAAAAGGCTTCTTTGAGTGAGGGGGTTGTTCCTTTATCTCTTAACGAGGCCTTGATTCACCCCCTCCTCAAGAAGCCATCGCTGGATCCCACCATACTGGACAATTTTCACCCAGTATCTAACCTCCCCTTTTGGGGGAAGGTGGTTGTGCAGCAGAGAGCCTTGAATGAAGCAGATTATCTGGATCCTTTTCAGCCAGGATTCAGACCCAGGTATGGGACAGCAATGGCATTGGTTGCACTTTTGGATATCTGGCATGGGTGGGATGGAGGTTGTGCTTCCATCTTTGCTGTACTTGACCTCTCGGCAGTTTTCAATACCATCAACCATAGTATCCTGGATTGGCTGAGGATTGGGGGTGGGTGGCACGGTGCTGAGCTGGTTTGCTTCCTTTTTCTGGGGTCGATTCCAGTCAGTGATGATTTGGGAGGAGAGGTTGCGCCCTTGGCCCCTCCTGTCTGGGGTGCCCGCAGGATTTGGTGCTCTCCCCATTCCTATTCAAAATCCACATGAGGCCTCTGGGTGAGCTCATCCATCACCACAGGGTGGGGTATCATCAGTATACTGATGATACCCAACTATACATTTCTGCCCCTGGCAAATTAAGTGATGCTGTGACTGCCTTATCCCAGTGTCAGGAGTCTGTGAGGATCTGGATGAGGCACAACAGGCTTCAGCTGAACCCTGGCAAGACTGAGTGGCTTTAGGTTTTGGGTCCTACTGGTTCTAGGACTATGCCATCTTTGGTAATGGATGGGGTGGTACTGCCCCAGACAGACCTAGTGCGCAATCTGGGGAATCCTCTTAGACTTGTGACTCCTGCTCAAAGAGCAGGTGGCAGTCATGGCTAGGAGGACCTTTGCACAGCCTCAGGTTATGTGCCAGTTGCACCCCTTCCTGGATCTGGAGGCTCTGCTCGCAGTCACTCATGCCCTAGTCATCTCCAGATTGGACTACTGTAATGCACTCTACATGGGGCTGCCCTTGAAGAGTATCTGGAAGCTTCCACTGGTGCAGAATGTGGCGGCGCAGGCAGTTACGTATGCTTCTAGAAGAGCACATATTACATCTCTGTTTCACGAGCTGCATTGGCTGCCAGTTTGCTTCCAGATCCAATTCAAGGTGCTGTTTTTGACCTTTGAAGCCCTTCATGGCATGGGGGTGGGTTATGTGAGGGACCACCTCTCCCCAGTCCCATCAGCCTGTCCCATTAGAGCCGGCAGGGGAGGTATGCTATGCGTTCCATCGGCAGAGACTTGCA